ACACACACCCAACCCCCCACCCCCCACCCACCACACACACACACACATATATATATATATATATATATATATATGGGTGCGGTTTGTATAGAGCCTAGGCTCTAAACAATCAAATTATAGCCTACCTTCAAATAGTGTCGAGAAATGTGGTTTTAATATTGGCAGTCTTTGTAATAGCCTTAAAATATATTTTTATATTTATTTATAAAATTTAATGCTTCAAAAATAGTGTAGATCAACAGATCTATAAAAACTTGAAAATCTTAAGTTGACAATCCAAAAATGCGTTACAAAATACATTATTTTCAAAACTTGAATTCCATTTTTTTCTCATGTCCATGCATCTTGATGTCGAGATGATCGATTTGAAGATATTTGGGCATCAAAACAACCTCTTCTAATGAAGTTTTTGACGTAGGCTCAAATTTGATTGTTTAGAGCCTCGGCTCTATATAAACTTTTCCCTAACAAAACCATATATAAATGCACTAAGTCTAGTTTCTAAAAGGTTGTGACCCTACATATTAAAGTACGGCTCTAGCCATCTACACCATCCATTTACTTGGAAGGTGCAGATTGTGCACCCCATTCGTAAAGGATACGGGGGCTTTCCAGTACCAGTTTCCTCAACTTTGCAGGAAGCTCTCTCTCTCTCTCTCATAGAGAGAAAATCCCTCTCACATCTTTGTTTTCTCTCTAAATCTCCTCAGATAATCTCTCTTACATCTATGTTTTATCTCTCGAAATATCCGATCTTATGGAAGCAGCTGAATCTGTTATAGATCACCAATCAAGTTATCGATCAAGCTCACCTTCCAACAAGCGCTCAAGGCTTCCACAGATCCATTCATGTTGCAAATTGCTCACCTACAGGCTTCTACATTTTTGAAACATATGGAAAGTTGTTGGATACCTTGTCAAGGCCAAATGAAGTTCAGTTGAACACAAGGCTGAAGCCATCCAAACCAGGCTAAGAACACGACTATCCCCAAGCTCAATCTCCCACTCATGCTTAAAGGAACAGAGGAAGATGATGAGTATACTCTCTCCTTGATTCAGAGGAGACTGAGCTTGAAAACCCAAGCCATTCAGCCACTGATTTGGCCAGTGAACATTGAAGATTTCTTGCTCGAAGTCGAAGATGAGATTGATCACAGAATTTGGATATCTGATGATCAGTAGATCTGGTACAGGTGTTTTTTTTTTTTCCTTTTTGTAGTTGTGCAAACAACCCCCCCCCCCGGGCCCATTGTTTTTGTAATGAAAAATAATGGCATTTTTTACCTTCGGATGGGTTTTCTCAGTAGGTCTTTCAATGGGAGCTATGACAACTGTGAGTCTTTTGGAGGAAAAGTTTTAATTTCAACAGATTTTCTCTTCAAAACCCTTAGTTTTCTTTGAACGTCAACGGGTCTAGTTTTTTCTTAATCATTGATGGCCTATCCCAAACAGTTGGAAACATCAATTACTTCCATCAAAACCTCACTAACAGTGGACAAAGAACACAGAAATTGGATCGCCCATGGCTTTACAGGGGTTTGCTAGAGAGAACGGATGGGGAGAGAGAGAGAGAGAAGTTAGATGGAAAGAAGGGACATATACAAAGAAGAGAGAGGTAACCAGGGCTTCCAATGCCCTGGATATGCAGTTTCTAAAATCTATAACATCCATTTTACTGGACAGTACATAAGGCTGCATCCTTAACTGTTCATGGATGCATCCTAGGAATAATCGCGGGAAATCCTTTGAGAACACAGATTCTTATTTCTCAATGATATCCACGATCGAGACAATTGGCTGAATCCCGAGAAACCCTTTCATAGGAGTTCATTGATAAAGCAAATCAGCTTTGATTCTTGAATAATCCACATCACTTCTGGTTCTTTACGGCCCCATGAAAAAAATTCATATAAGGTTGCAACCTTAGGTGCACCTTAAAAATTCCAGTAGAAAATAGTGTTTAAGAGGCTGGAAAACCTTCCAAATGATCACCTTGGCGTTGACATATATGGAGATAAAGAAAAAAAGAATTTCTAGTCCTAAAAAAGAAGTGCATTCTATAACAAGTTATTTGGACTGTCTATTTTAAGATTTTCAAGTGTTTATATATGTGCAAGTCTAAATTTCAAGTTATCTGCACAGTTTTTGAAATTTTAAATTTCATAATTATGGCTGAACATGAATTTTCAAGCAATCATAAGGTTTCCGATACTAGAACTACATCTTCTGGCAAAATTTAGAGGCACGCCTTAATGTGCCAAGCTTGTTTGATGGTGACTTGGTGATTACCATCTTAAATGATAGGCAAACACTAGTAGTCAATAAGCTCAGGTTCCTTCCAAAATGCAGTTCAAAGGGTTAGGAAACAAAATGTTACCTGAGCACAGACCATAGTAAGGGCTTCACACTGAGTAGGGTTGACCTTTCCCTGAAAAAAAGTAAAAATCAGTCAAATAATGTCAAATTTACATAATGCACCTGAAAAGAAAAATGAAAAGAGTTCTTGTGCACGAGATTATTGTCTTTTTCATCACAGGGGCACCATTTATCTGGAAATTTGAACTGGAATACTATAAGCAACCTGCATACCATAAAAAACCCAAAAGATAGGCAAAAAGAGCTTACAGGCATAATGCTGCTGCCCGGTTCATTTTCAGGTAGGATGAGTTCACCAAGCCCGCAACGAGGTCCACTGAAAAATGAAAAACACATGAATGAGCTCCTATGTATAGACCCATCTTGAGCAGATACACAAGTTTATGACAGATGTTACCTTCCTAGTAGCCGTATATCATTTCCTATCTTCATGAGAGAAGTAGCAACAGTATTTAGAGCTCCACTTGTTTCAACAAAAGCGTCATGTGCAGCCTGGATGCATATCAACCAATATGCACATTAAGTAGACTGAGAACCCAGTTCCCAGGATAAAAATAAAAAAAGGGAAAGGAATAAAAAAAGGAAATTTGCATTTTTGAGAAGTGAAAATCATTTTCTAATCCGTCTATTAGCTCTTAATATTGCTCGAGGTTAACTCCATAACAAGAAATGCAAGTGCAGGAACTCAAGATAAAAGTTAGGATTTCTTTCTCCAAATGAAGGCTACAGATACAAAGTACCAGATACTAAAACTAAATTAGACAAAAATTTCACAAAACTAAGTCATGTGAACCAGTTAATAGGCTGGGTTGACCATCTAATACCATATACATGCTTCAACCAAGCAATCCCAGGCAGCAGCAAGCAGATAGAGCACATATGCATGTTTTACTCTTTTTTAATCAGATCAATCTTTTTTTTTTTTCTTTTTTTCCAAATTGAAATGGCATGCAGAGGATTCTTGAAATTTACCAAGGCTTCAAACTTGTTTTGAGCTGTCACAAACGGTAAGTTCGTTTCTTCAGCTACTGCAGCAGCAATCTTGACATCAAACCTATCAAGAAAAGCAAGCAATCAGTTGTGTACCTAAACTCATGTCAACTCTGGAATGTACGTTAATTGATCCCAGCAAAATAACTCACAAGGTGACTGATAAGCCACAATCGCCCAGTTTTTCACACAAGAGTGATGACAAGAATTGAGAATCCACAAGATCAAATCATAGTTTGCCTAAAAAGATGAGAAAGGAAGCACAGAACACCTTTGAATACATTGTAGAGAAACAAGTGCCTTATATCCACTTCATAGGAATGAAATTTAATTAGAAGCATAGGAACTTTCCCAGACTCCAGTAATTTTATTTCCTATTTACAGAGGGACTCAAAAGTTTTGCTGAAAGAATATATAAGATCGTATAGTATATATAAAAGGGAAGGATCAAGTAACACCATCAGAAATTTGTTAGAACCCATATGTTAGAAAAGGGATGGCAACAGGACACCACGACTCATGAGTACCATGACCAAGATTGTATTACAGGACATTTATCGACATACACTAACTTATCCACTAGTTAACATTTTACCCATTTGCAACTATTCCAATTCTGATCATGTGTAATTTGATGGCTTTTTGAGATTAAATCAAAGGAATGGGTAAAGCATTAAATAGTTCATCTCCTTCAAGCATTTTGATAAATTTCCCTTTGTATGATAAATCGTTTGAAGGAAAAGAAAGTTGTTCAGCAACTGGTATGCATGCATCACATGCAATCGCACACCACTTGGGCGCATCCTTCCCCCCCCCCCCCAAAAAAAAAAAAAAAACACAAAAAAGAAAGAAATAAATAAATAAACAAAAAATAAAAATCTATTTCCCCAATTGTGAACTAAGTTAATGGTGAGATTCCAATCATGCATGGTTATTTTGAATCTCACAAACCTGCTAAATTACTGGTTGTATCACTTGGAAGATTACAAGAACTTAAATGCAGTTGGCAAATACATAATAAAGGGGAAAGGGGATGAAAGAAGCTAAGGAAGGTTATAGGGGGAAAATATCTGAAGATTGGGTAAAAAATGAGAGACATAAGATGCAAAATGCATCTCTACATCAGCAACTAAGCATATAAAGACCACCACGTATGCAAATTTCTATTCTTCTCGTTTCAAAATAAAAAAATGTATAACAAGCACTTTATTCCCATGAAAAGTTATTTTCTGGCACCAACATAGTTTAAGAATATAAAAGCTAAAGCAGAGCATACCCTTTTTTAGTATTTAGGCCAGTACCTACTGCAGTCCCGCCCTGTGCTAACTGCCCTTGGCAAAGTTATAAACGTAAGAACCTAAAAGTGAACAAGTAACACAGAAGTACAAGAACGTAAGAAGTTGTATCACCTGATAAATGTGGGGCAGGGTGTTTTTAACACGCTCGATTCCATAAAACACCTGTCAACAACACTGAATCCAGATGAAAAAGGTTCCAATGAAGATGATTTCCCATAATGAGGAGGAATACAGAGAATTCTTTGTCCATCGAAAACACCAAGACTCTTGGTTTTACTGCCTTGTTCAAATGACAACTCCAATTATTATAAAGTACTTACTTGGGTTGAATAGCCACTAAACTCTTGGCCTAAAGTTAAGGGTGTGGCATCTTGAGTATGAGTGCGTCCAATCTTTATGATGTCCTTGAACTCAATGGTCTGTATATAGTAAAACGAAATATGAAACAGATTTGATAAATGGAGAGAAAAGAAAGAAACTTATCAGAAACGGATGTATTTTAAGTAAAAAATCACTAACAGCATAACCAAATAGACTATAAAATATGTTCCATGTTTCCTAAAACTACTTTCAAGCAGTAAAAGAGCCAATCTAACATCTATTAATTCACCCAATCAAAGTATGATATTGTCATAGCACCTATAAATTCAAGCTTTAACTGCAACTGGAACCAGATTTTCCTACTGGGGAGCCACTCCCGTTCCTAAGGCCACAACTTGTTAGGCAACTTCTGTTATGAGTTTCATGCCTAAGCACTACCATCCAGGTTTGCTTCTGCTCCCACCATGACGCTGGCTTCTAAAACAATAATAAATATTTGAAGAGATTTTTCTATCATGATTTGGAATGATACTGATTCAACTGAGCTATCTAGATAGAGCCTAACAAAGATGCTGTTAAGTAAAGACTCTGTCTGAATGGTCTCTGTGTTTCACAACAATAAAAATTTAGAAAACAGCCAAATATACGGCCCTAATGGTTGTTCCTACCCTTTGTGGTTTAATTCTGCAGGAAGCATATGTTGATAGACTTTGAAAATGCTCTATCTTAATGTATTTCTCTTGCAGTATTGAACTTCCTGGAAAATTTGAACTTCATGTAATTGATTAGAGTTCCCCCTTGACGACCTCAAAATTTCTCCTAAACTTTTCAATTTTTAGACCTTTACAAGCAACCAGCCACTTTTCAAAAAACATTGCTCATCCAGTTACCCAACTACATTTTTTTAACTTTTTTGTATGACAATATTTAAGACAAAATGCACTTCCTACACATGCCAGACTTCAACAACAAGGCACCAATAGAAAAAAAAATTGATATTCCCCTCAACATATACGATCAACTTATTTGTAACGAATAAATAAAATGCCCTAACAATATTTAAGAGAATGATTTAGAGCACAAATTTCTACCTTGGCATCAAGTGAAGCATGTAACTGTTTCAAGCTTGGTATAAACCTTGAATTCGTTTCAACTGCTGCAGCTATGTGCATGACCTGGAAAAAAGAACTACTCATTGACAATCTTAACCAATTCACAGCAGTGGTGTCCTTTGAAACTTATAAGATAGCACCTTTAAACAATCATCAGAGGTTATCAATAATGCAAATTAAAGTCAGCCAATACTATCAGGTCATTTAACAATGACTAAAATAAGCTTTAGAGGATAACAATGACTAAAATAACCTTTGAGGTAATACATAAGCAATCAGCTAAATAACAAGTAAATGTCACCAATAACCATATGTATACATATAGGGATGGTTTACATATCTAAACACCCCACTCAAACTTGAGCACAAACTGAAACAAGTTACAGTTTGTTAACCAAGTAGTTATGCCTTGCTCCGGTCGTTGACTATGTAAATAAGTCTGCAGCTTGTTCTGTGATTAATATGGGATATTGATGATGTAATCAACTAGCCTGTTCATGTTGTCAACCAATTGGAAATATTTTAGAGGGGGTTCACATGCCAATACCAATAGGCTACAGCTCATCTTGCACAAATAATTCCTTGGTTCAGTAATGAACAGAAGTGTGCACTAATCAAGTGTTACATAGGTACTGACATGAGTGTCGTGCCTAATGCTCTAGCATTAAAAGCTAGTAGCGCAAGATATGTCCATACAAGTGCTGGTTTGAATAAACTAATAAGGTTTTCATTTCATTACATATAAAAGATACGGTGGCAGGTTGGTAGATCTTGCTGCTCCCTCACAAGATTTCCTATGTTTGAAGTGAGCTAGTTTGCAATTTTATAGTCCATGCAGTGTACCCATGTGTTGACACATGTCCGAGACATGCAATAAAGCTCCACATGGAGTGTCGAGACATGAAATAAAGTGCCACCCCCATATGGAGTGTCCGTGTAACACTGGCACTAATTTCCAAGATCTTCAAAGTCACTTCTTGAACCCCAAGAATCTGAATCAAATCCAATTGATTGTGAAACGAATTCCCATAACCATTTGATAAATTCTTAAGTTTCTCTTTTAGGATAATATCAGATTAAAAATGGCGCACTCACGAGCGCTGCTCCCTTAAGGTGAAGACACAAATTTAGGTAATCCTGAAAAGCATTGGGCAGTAGGGGGCACCATATCATATGCATGAGTGTATATATATATATATATTTTTTTCTTTTTTTTTTTTTCTTTTTTTTTTCTTTTTTTTTTTTTTTTTTTTTTTGGCAAGGTTACATGTAGCTATTTATAGATTCATATAGCCAAACATGTGCACACACAATATGGTGCATTAAAACAGTTATCTTTTATGATATATAGTAATTTTTATGACACACATACACGCACACATATAGGCGAGTGGTTTCACATTACAATGTCATTGTAATATAATGAAACCACACTTCTAAAAAACCATGTTTGTGGCATTTTTATGACCCCAAAAGGTGCACATGCCCCGTCTTCATCCTCATAATCAATCCCCAAAAATAAAATTCAATTTGCACTGGAGAAATGGTCAAAATGAGTTACCCTCCAACCATGAATCTAGACTATCCATTTGGTGAATTTCACGATCTAGGCCTTTATGAACTTAAAACTTTTTTTTTCTTTTTAACATTGTTCATCTAACACGATAATAAAGTCATCTAAAATTTTGGAAAGGGAAAAATTATTCTAAGGCTTAGATCTAAGCGTCTCACCAAAATGGACAGCCTATTTTAATTGGACAAAAAAAAATACTTTACAGAGTGCATTTTCAAACTTTGTTTTTTTGTGATGTTCGTTAGAATGAAAATGGTGTATTTAGATAAGATCAAACAAATCACGCTAACATGGCTTTTGAAGATTATTTCATTATATTACTACAGAACCGTTGGTTCCACACCTAAATAGACAAACATAAAGGACCTGGTGGCTGCATTTCACCAAGGCTCTCCTGGCTTCCTAACAGCTGCCTGGGAAAAAAATACCTGGAAGTTCAAGGTAATGCCCTCCACTGGAGGCAGCACAGCCTCAAAACCATGGCATCTGCCTCCAACCTTTGACTGTTGTATTGCAATGATTTAATTCTATCAATTACAGATCACATCAAAGAACATGCCTTGGCAATCAATGTGGAACCACAAATATAGCACAAGATGCTTTCCAATATTGGAACAAATACCAACTACGAAAGGGCTTATCCCAAAAGCAATGCTAGACCTGCTAGACTAAATATGTGCTAAGACTTACAGTTGGGAAAGTGTCATTTGAGGACTGTGACCTATTGACATGGTCATTTGGATGGACAAACTTTTCACCACGCTTTTTGCCAAGAATTTCAGCTGCCCTGTTTGCAATCACCTGTAAATCATACAAACACAATCAAAGGGAAGTGGGTTCCCTTAAGATTCATCACATCAAGTTCCTTTTCAATTATCTTTTCTTTTCTTTGTGATAGATTAGATTAGGTAGTGTAACACCAAGTACTGAGGAGAAGAAACAATGGGCATTAGATGTAAACATAAAACAAAGAATCAAGACTACAAAAGTCCAGGTATGGAGTGGGGAAAAACGCATTTTGACAGGAAGTTATATTAAAGATTAAATCCAATGGCTACAAGCACTAGTGTCCATCATATCGTTTTGGAAGGGAGACATAAGTAGTAAAGTAATACTTACACGCTTCCATTAGCACTACTTTTCCTAATGTCTAGATAATTAAATGCAATGCACAGGGTCCCTTCTTTGGGGTTAATCAAATACTTATACATTTTTTATGGGTTTAATAAGGTACAAAGAAATCTATATGCTGCAAAAAAAGGATCATGTGAATATGTACAAAGGAAGAACCCTAGCACATGTTCAAATTTGTGGTACTACCTCATTCGCATTCATGTTACTTTGAGTCCCACTACCAGTTTGCCATATAACAAGTGGGAAATGGTCATTAAGCTGACCATCTGCAACTTCTTGGGCAGCTTGCATTATTGCTTTTCCAATAGATGGATCAAGACCATACTCCATGTTAACCTGCAGATAAATATGAAGGTCACAATCTGATCTTGCTAGTTTAACACACACATGAATGCCAGGATTTCCAAGTAATGAAATAAATACTTCAAATTACTAACATGTAGAAGACACGCATTCATGAACATGCATGCGCAAAAACCTATGGGATATATGGATATACGAGGTATATCAGTAATATAGGATTCAGAATTCATAGAGTGTTGGAAATCGAAGGCACTAGTTAAAAATAAAACTTTTTATAAATATAATGACAGGGGGCCTAAACTCCAGGCTGCAGAACACGGAAAATAACCTTGGCAGAGCACTTCTTAAGGACGCCAAAAGCACGGATTATGGGTTCAGGCATCTGTTCGCACTCGCCACCAATATCAAAATTCTGCAATGACCTTTGAGTTTGAGCGCCCCAAAGTCTGAAAAACATAAGATAATAGGGAGAGATGATTTATAATTAGTTCAGGTATTCACCAGATCAAGATGCATAACTGCATACAAATAACATGAATGATTGCGAAAGAATAGCAATTGCCATATTTCGATTATCGCAAGTAACCAAAGAACCAGAGGTTTAAGATTCAAGTACCACTCTATAACCACTACTATCATAAAAAATAGTTTCCTGGGTACTTTTTCCACTTTTCTCAAGAGATGGCAAATATTATTTTATAATACAATCTTAAATAGTGTTTGTTATGGATCATGATATGCAGTTTCTTTCAAGGATTATATAGAGTATTAAATGCTTTAAACATAAAGGAGTTGCGATGTGGAAAAAATAGATAAGGAATTGAGCAAATTGCTACAAACTTGTCTGCTGGAACAAGAATTGAGCCAAATGTGTCTTTCTCCTCTCTGAAAGATGAAATCAATCTGCTATATGTGGAACGCAAAAGGCCCACTAGGGGACCTGCAAGCAGCTGGTGTGGAATGCGTCGTGTTGATGAAAGCATCGTCATCACGAAGAATCACCTGCAAAAAATCAGAAAGGGTAAAAAATGGACATAAACTGATGATATTCCAAACTAAAAAAACTTGTTCTGTCACAAAAATTTAATGAAGTAGAGCATGGTTGTATCATTTTCCTTCTTCAGTTACAGTATAAGAAAATGGATTTTTACAATTGAAGAAAAGTGGATTCAACACTCCCTTGCATTGTTATACCTTAGGCCTCTGACCCAGAAACCAAGGTATTCAAAACTCCAAATAATATAATTAATATTCAACTCTAGATTGGAATACTAATTGGGCCGAAACCTATCACTTGAGTTATAAAAAAGTATCACTTGAATAATCAACTCATCAGTTAAAGTTACAAAAATAGCTGAGATTATTTTATTATTTTTGAGGAAATAGTACACAGTCCTCAAAATGGAATACCTGAGAATGTCATGTGACTTTTCCAAACAACCATGGTTTTTAACTGAAACTCAAATTTTCTCACTGGATTTCCTCAATTCTTTGTGTTTATATTTTAATCTTTCAACAAGTATTTCACCAAAAACTTGCTGATTTTTCAAAAAAATAATAATTACTAAGTAAAAAAAATTATTTTTGATCATCAAGTAGAAATTTATAAATCTAAAACCCTCAAGAAGTTGCCATCCTTTTTCAAATGCAGTTATACCTTGGTTACAATAAATCAATAGCATCAAAAAGCATCCAAAATAATCAATCGAAACAACAAAAACTTCAACTTTAAAGTTCTTACCAGATTATGAATATAAAGTTTAAGCTTCGTACTGGGACTAACAATCCATGATAGAGAAAAATAACGCTGAATATGGTCAGTGTATATGCATATTCATGACCAGGTCAACAATCCACAATCAAACTCACCCACTCAAATAAATTAACATGATTTCCCAACGAATAACTATACAAATGGTAATAGAAACAAGAAGACGTTTCCATCTATACAATGTTAACAGTATCAAAAAAATAAACAAGAAGAAGCGAGAGACTAGGAATATCTCATGGAGATTTAACTTGCTATATTAAGCCATTTGATCATAAAAAAACTAGATATTCATAATCATAATAAAAGCTCAAAGAACTCTCGAAGCTGCACTCAAATGCTACATTTTGTATGTGGCTTTGAAATTGCAGTGTGATTTTTCCAGAAATGGAAAGGAAACTGCCAAAATTCCATAAACCATGAAAATTTCAGTACCTGTGCATATGAGATTCGGATCCAAAGCTAGGGCAAATTTTTGGTGATGATTTTTAACGGAGGCGTAAAAGTTGGAAGAAATGAGACGTTGTTTTTATACTGCACAGGCGCGCGGACCAACGAATAATCAGCAATAACAAATAATAGCCAGCTAAAAATGAACGTTTACTCTGTAGACCCCCAAACGTGGGATCTATGTCGCAGCATCAAACGTTTACGAAACACTTTTTCTTGGAGGCAAAATTACAAATAACCCCGCGACTTTCTACACTCTAACGAAACCTTTTCTTTTTTCACTTTTCGCCAAAATACATTTTTTTTAGCAAAATCTTTTCCAACCTAAAAAAAATAAAAATAAAAAGTCTCTTCATTTTTACCCTGCCTCTCCCTCCTCTCTCCCACACGGTCCGGCAATACAAGTTGATTGAAAGAAAAAAAAGGGGTCCGTCCATAATATATGGGCTCCAGCATTTGCAACAAGGGGTTTGACGATTGATAGGTGTGGTTTGACACTGATAATTCAAAGTTTGGTCCGGCATAAATGCAGGGGTCCAGCAATTCGATGGTGCGGTCCGACAATTACTACTTAGGTCTAACATTACACATTAAATCCGGTCAAAATGGGTTTTTGTGTACGAGAAAGATGTTTTCGTGTTAAAGAAAGTAACCTTTTTATTTGTGGGGTATTTGTTAGAAAAGTAAATTTTGGAGAAAAAATGTAAAAAAAATTTTGTTTGGGGATAACTTGCATATAAAGTTTTGTCCTGGGGGTTATTTGTAATTATCTTTTTTTCTAATAACCTTACGAACATTTAATTTTTTTTTTTTTAAGTTATATAATGAAATCAAATTTAAAAAAATATATATATATATATATAATTAAATCATTTACTTTTAGTACAAGGCGGTCTGACCATAAAAAATAATTATATTTTCTAAATCATCTAGAGGATCTTTGAGGCCCTTTTGGCTCTTGGATGAGAGAAAGAGTTTTGAGAAAGAGAGGGCATGAGAGATGGGTTTAGGGGAGAGGAGGCGAGAGAGGAGAGGCAGAGGTTGGAGGGAGAGTAGATGTATGTGTGAGAGAGAGGGTGTGTTTGTTATTTTAAAAATTATTTGGATGATAAAAGGTTATAAAAAAGAGTTAAAGGGTTTTGTTTGAAATAAATGTTTATGGAAAGTGTAATGTTGTCATGCATATCTTACATTTGAGGGTCTACTCATAAAATATTTACCCAATTAAGGTATATGGAGATATTTTTATAATAATAAATAATTAATTAAATATATATTTTTGGAAATTTTAAAATGCGTTGTGGTGAATAATTAGCCCAAAATGATGTTTTATTTTTTGGGAAATTTAAGAAGGCCAGGTTTGTATAAGGTGCACACTTTATTTTTTGGGTAGATTAGAGAGGAATACAGGGCCTTATCTGTTCTTAGAAATAATTAGCGGTTTTCAAATGCATCAATAGCAATGGAAACCTAAACCCGTAGCTGAGGCTCAAGTAGTGCTACAATCACGCCCTCAACCCCATTCCTACTTATGCATCTTGTGTAATATACAAGTAAAGCACATCTTTAAATTCTACCAAGATATGTATTTTTGTGATAGAAACCTTGCAGTATGAGATTGGAATTGAGTTGCTAATGTTTTTTTTTTAAAAAAAAAATAACTTACAATGGCTTGAAAATCCATGTTCAATCGTGATCATGAAATTTTAAATTCTAAAAATGTTGCATATTGAGTAGAACTATAAATAATTTAAAATCTTGGAATAGATAGTTTAGATAACTTATTAAAAGACGAATAATTTTTAAGACTTGAAATTCTCTTGCTTCTTTATATCTCTATATCTCAAATTCGAGATGATCAAATTTGAAGGTTTTTCAACATTTGAACACTTTTTTCCATTGTATTTTTTTAGGTATCCCTTGCTTCTAGAGTATAGGTTGCAATAATATATAAACCTTTCCCTTACTAAAATACCCATGAGATATGCATTTTTCAATGTTTTAAGCACTTTGTTATCATTTTTTTTTTTATGTGTATTTTGAAATTAAATAAAATAAATAATAAAAATGTTAAATAGTTCATCATGGGCATCGTCATACATTCCCGTTGTTGGTAAAATAAAAAGATGATAGATTAGGTATAAAAAAAAAAAGACCAAAACACCCCAAAAAGGGTATGTACTAGTGTTTGATATGGGAGATTTTATAACTTTCATATTTTATTAACATCATAATCATCATTAGAGTTATTTTCCAACTATTTGGGATGTGCTACATAAATATTGGTCCGCCATTCAATTTTATCAATAGCCATAAATCTTGGCCCGACCCATTGTCCTTTATGAGCTTTCTGTTGGACGAATTTGCACCTCCCAATAGATGACATATTTAGTCTGTGTTACAGATGACCAGTTCACCTAAGTCTATTTTATTTCATCTTATTGTAAATTGGAGTCACACCTAAGTTATCCCAAATGTATTAATTTCGAATTTTCTCTCTTTTTGTCTTGCCACTAATCTATTGGGATTTTCATAGTTACAAGATTAATAAATTGCATGTGCCTATCAAAGTGCAGTTATTTTTATGGATCATGTGTCAATATAGATCAGCAACGATTGACAACTTGAGAAACATGGGGATTTGTTATCATTAATGTATGTATATTATGTAAAGTCAGTGATGAAACTTCACAACATATTTTTCTCTCATGCCATTTTGTCACTTCTTTTTGGGATTTACCCCAAAATGTCAAAGCTCTCATGGAATAATGAATCACACACTATATTTCAAAAACGGGAACTATCATTTGGAGATCTGTTTGGGTCAGCCTTATTTGGAATGTGTGAATAAAATAAATATAAAGAGTTTTTGATAGTATAAGTACATATCTATCTACATTAAAATCGAATATTTTGGCAGTTGCAACATATTAGTTCATTGCACATAAGGATAGTGGCTTCATTTATAAAAGTCTTATAATTAGCAATCATTCGACAATGACGACTATGGGTGTTACCATCAACACTCGTAGTGAGGTTGTTTGGATACCACCACCAGTGAATTATTTCAAACTTAATTTTGATGAAAGTTCACTTAGCAATCCAGGGCCAGCTGGTTATGGCGGTCTCATTAAAAATAGTTTGGGTCACATTATTTTTTCTTAATCTGGTCTTTGTGGTGTCACAACAGCAAATGAGGCGGAAGCACGAGGTTTATTAGATTATTTGAAATTGCTATGCATTTTAGAAGGGGACATGACTATCGTATGAGACTCGATAAATGTCATTGCCTGGAGTAAGATAAAAGCTAAAATCTCTTGGAGATTCAGGATTAATTTTCATCAAATTCAAAATATTTTGTCGACCTCTATGACAACGGTCAAACATTGTTATAGAGAGGCTAATGAAGATGCTGATGTTATTGCTAAATGAAGAGCCCGTACTCCATCTCTGTTGGTTACTTATTTTATGTAATATTGTGCATTGCTTTAACATATTGTATTTTATATATGAATTAATAATAAATCATACATTACCGTTCAAAAAATATATATATTTGTATTTGACATGCATATAAATTTCTCAAAACAATAACATAAAATCGGTTATCGCGCTACCTGTTTGAACTCAGGCTCGTATACGATAATACGAATGTGAAATGATGCAGAGAAGATTGCCATGGCCCGTGTTAAAAAAAAAAAAGAGTGAAAGAAAAATAGCGATCACATGCAATAAGCTTGTACATCTTCGAGGGTAATTGAAGTGCAAGTATGTTAAAAACTTAAAATAATTTGTGTTCGTTCGAAAATGCGACAAGCCCTATTCCTTCAATTTCAAAATAAAGCGGCATCAAACGACGTCATGGAAACAAACTTTGAAACGGCACTCAAATGATAAAGCTACACTTCATTTGAATATTTCCACCCGTATTTGACAAATTTGAAGGGGGGAAATTTTTTAGTAGAAGACGTGGTTTTGATGCCTAAATAGCCTCAAAATGATCATCTCCACAGCCGTATGTATGAGAAAAAAAAAAGGATTTTAAGTTTGAAAGTAATGTATATTCTAACTTGTTTTTGGACTGTTAATTTTCAAAATTTGTATAGTTTTGCTCGATCGGTATTATTTTTTAAGCTTTAAATTTTATACTTAAAGATAAAATTTTAAGGTTGTCACAAATATTTGCTTCTTGATACTATTTGAAGGTGTGCTTTACTTTGACTGTTTAGAGCCTCGCTCTATATAAACCATACCCTTTATCAGAAGGAAAAAGCTTATATAGAGCCCAGGTTCTAAACAATCAAATGTAAGCCTATCACAAAACTTTAATTAGAAGATGTTGTTTTAATGCCTAAATATCTTCAAATTAATCATCTCGACATAAAGATGCATGGACATGAGAAAAAAAATGGTTTTCAATTTTTTGAAATATAGTGTATTTTATAACGCATTTTTTGACCGTTAATTTTCAAGATTTTCAAGTTTTCATAGATATATCGATCTACACTATTTTTTAAGCTTTAAACTTTATAAATAAATATGAAAATATATTTTAAGGCTATCACAAAGATTTCCAGTAGTGAAACCACATCTCTTGACCCTATTTGAAGGTAGGGTCTAATTTGATTGTTTAGAGCCTATGCTGCTCTATACAAACCGAGCCCAGGCTGCTCTATACAAACCGCACCATAATACATTTAAATGTCAAGTATTTAACATTTTAACAATTTCAACTATTCTAACTCGGTTTTTGACATAATTTGTGGACTAAATAAAAAATATGATTAATGTGTTAAAATAGTTCATCTCTTAAATGCATTTTGTTAAATTTCTCATATATTAAAAGAGAGAGGGTACTTGAATGAATTTTGTTCCCTATAGTTTGCTAGAACCTCAAAAAAGGCATATGTGGCGTGGTTGTGTTGTTTTGACGCGCTGAGAGTCCGTCGAAGAAACATGAACAAAAGGATAGGATCTAGGCTCACCTACTTAGTGAGTCACCTCCAAACTCTATCTTAGAGACAGATTAAGGATCTAGAACTTCATGAGCTTATCATGTCGACCATCTAAATGACGAAATTGAAAGAAAGACAAAAAAAATATGTCCATTGTTTCGTTTTGAACCACACAACAAAATTTCTTCAAAGATCACACGATCTACGAGACTTTTTGGAGCTCTAAATTTATAGATTTGAGGGAGCAATTTAGGATGTGTTTCAAATCTTGAAACCCTCGAAAGCTAAGTCGGTTGACTCACTAAATACTTTTCGATAAACAAGCACAACGTAATTCGTAGCGGGGGCTAAATTTCACCAATCTAATCATGTGACCTTGGCTCTCAAGTCTTGACCTAGATTTGATGTCGAGAGTATTTTATTTTTTGATTTTGTTTAAAAAAGTATATGAATGTGAAATTTGGTACGTGCCATCATGGTGCACCTAAAATAAATATATATAATCTTTTTTGATAAACTACAATAACCATAGTACCCATTAAAATTTTAGGGGCTTTTTGGTTATTTTATTTATTGGGAATATTTGTTTCGTGTTTTTTTTTTTTACCGATGCAAGCTTAAGAGAGGAGTGGACGTCTAAAATTGGTGTCAAAATAGTTTGTACGATTTTTTTTTAAAATAAAATAGTTTAGAGACATGATATTGTGATTGATGCCATCTCCATCGTCCATTCGGAATGGATGGTTGGATAGGAGGAAGTATATAAATTTGTTTCTATAAGGCCTAGGCTTTATGAAAAAAAAATAAAGCATCACCTCAATACTCGTCCACAAAGCACTTTGAGCAACAAAAATATACTTGATTGCTCTAAAATCAGTTCTAACACCAACAATGAAATTCAAAACTCAAAAAATGGTATAGATATTGTGGATCTATGAAAATTTATTTTTAGGGTATAATGGGTGATCCAGATAATTTGTTACAATGTATATTATTTTTAGAGTTTAAAATCTTTTTTTTTTGACAACCATAATGTTAAGCCAAGATGATTGAAGTAAAAGTTGAATTACAGTTTTCGACGAGTTATGAGGTAAGGTTTTAGTTGTTTTGATACAGTTGTAACCCTATCAAACAATTTTCCTATACATTTTAAGCTATAGAGAAAATATAAAAAGCTTGTCCTCAAACCAGAAGGTTTTTAATGGCGTATAAATCTAGTTAAATGCTACCAAGGAGCACAAATCAAGACTATTGAGCATCGTTTGTCTGTTGGCGTCTTCATGTCCTCGTGGCAAAGAAAGAGAGAGTGGGACTCATTAAATATTTTTTTTTGGTAGTTCAATAGTAGGATTAGAGTTTGAAAGGTAGAGTTGTCGATGCAATCTTTAAAACTCAAGTTCTACAACACTCATTTCAATACTATTTATTTTTACATCAATATTTAAAATAAAAAATATATTTTTTTAAAAAATATTTTTTTTTTATTTAAGAAAATTCTTCTCACAAACTTGAAATTTGAAATTTTAAAGAGAAAAACTATCTCAAATTTTAATTTATTTAAACAGAAAAAATATCTCAATATTTTTTTTAAAAAAAACTATCTCAAATTTTAAATTTTAAAGAGTAGAACTATCTCAAATTCAAAGTTATCTCACATTTTTAGAGAGAGGTCCCAAAAATTAAAAAGTCTTGAGAAAGAGTCGAGGGATAGGAATGAATGTGGGTTTATACACTAGGGGTATTTTAAGCCTAAAAAAACTACTCTTTTACCTAGTATGGTGTTAGTGGATCCATGGGGCTATCCATTATAATTTAAGTATAGAAAAACTTTTTCATGAAAGTTATGGCTTTAAGCCCTAAAAATAACGTATGTTATACCACATTATTTAGGTGATCAATTTTACCCAGAAAACAAGTGTTTATAGATCCGCAATATTTATACCATTTTTTTGAGTTTCAAATCTTATTATGGGTATTAAAAATTGATTTTAGATTCATCATGGAGATTTCTATTAGCAGATGCTTTTTGGATGAAGATTGAAGTGAGTTTTTATTTTGCTTTCATAAAGCCTAGGCCTTCCAAAAACTTCGTCCTGCTGAGTCGGCGCAAGATACTCATGACCATAGTTCTCGATGGTCATATGGATCATATTGTATACTTTTCCCTCTTCGTCTTGTAGCCTCGATCGCTTTTTTGGTGGGAAAGGAAAAGCCCAAGAAATAAGACAGAGAGAGAAAGAGAAGGATGAGAGAGAGAGAGAGACTGCATATTTATTTGGTCAGTTTTGTTCGCCGCCCTTCGAGCCATCCGTGGTTGTTTCCTTCTGATACCACTTTCTCTCCTAAAGAGCAGTTGCTGATATTTGCAGTCGCATGCGATCTGAATCAGGTGGCATTCTGTTTCCATTTGGAAATGGGGATCACACCTGGAATCCGGTATTTATTTTTTCTTCGTTTCCTTTTTTTCGTTGGGTATCAGATTTCATGGACTCTCTCTTTATCTCTCTCTTTTTCCAATTCAATTTTCAGTAAATAAATATTACATCTCTCTCTTGATGCCAAAACCATATTTTATGTATCTAAGATAGATATTGTTTCTTGATAATATCGGGGACGATTAGAAGGAATGATCAGTCTCTGATGGCGCTTTGTATTGCCGTGTGATTTGGTTTGGGATGTTTCATTTGCTCGAGGATAAAATTTATTGTGATATGGATCAGTATAATTGACGTCAAATTATGTCCCGGGAGGATAGCTCGATTGCCTTTTCTGTTATAGTTTGCCTTACAATGCTTACTATATTTTATTTTTGGGAGTAAAAGTAATTTCGTTTGATCTTTTGCCATGGCATTCCTATGATCTACTACTGGTATCAGAATTGAACTTGTTCTTTTACTTGGTTATTTACACTGTTAGAAACTTAGAATAGCAGTCAATTCATGCTGGGTTCAGTCTAATGCCCAGTGTTCAAAAACTTCAAATGGTCTAATTTTGAAAAGCTGGAGGAGCATCAACTCAGGTGTTAATCCCAATAACAACAAAAATTTCCCTGATTACTATTTGTGAATGAATCTGGTGATTTTTATTTTAAGAAGATTATTTTTTCTTCAACTGAAAAAATTGATTGGTATCAGCGTTATCTGGACTTGGTCGAGTCCACTTGGACACAGCCGAGTAACATCGAGCTGTGTGTACAATTCGGGGCATTTAAAAAATTTTAAAAAAAGAAGAAAGATATTGTAAAAATTTGTAATATGTTTTTCAATTTTTTCGGACATGATTTAGATGTATTTTGCAGAGATTGGTAAGGTGTTCTTTTTTCCATAACCACATTTTTATATTTTTCTTTTTCTTGGATTTTTTTTTAAAATATCCCATACTGTAAATTGTTTTTTGTTTTTTTAAATCCATGTTTTCTCTACTTTTAACATTGTTTTAACTTTTTAAAGGTTTTTGAGGTTGGAATTTATTTTTACTACAGGTCGTTTATTTTTTCAAAATTTCTAAATTTTTTCAAAATTTCTAATTTTTTTTTAATGTTTTTAGTGCCTTTTGGCCCTATGCTGGACTTAATTTTCCTTTGATAGATGGATGTGACCGGTGTAAGGGTGGGAATAGGTCTGGTTGGGTCTGCCCATACCCAACCTGGACCCAGTTCGGGGCCAACCCGGACCCGACCCACAAGTCTATAAATAAGAAATATATAAAATTATTAGTTTGCATAATTCATGCTAAATAATTAGTATTTTTATATGCAGTTTATATTAATATATTCAGGTCAGGTTGGGTCCGGTTGGCCTCAAACTTGACCCGATCCGACCCGATAAGATCCATGCTGGACCTAGACCTGGAACCGGAACCGAACCTGGACCCAGTCCCGGTGGGGTCTATGTGAAGTGCGCCGAGACTTGACCCCTCAGGTGCATTGTCTAGGTCCACACCTAGACCTAGTCAGGTTGCTCGTCAGGTCCATGGGTCGACCCGACCCAATTCCGACCCATAGATGGATGTATTAGAAAGAAGAAAAGAATGATGGTTGGGGTTGTGAAAAATTAGTTAATTGAAAGGATTGTTATAAGGAAAGGGAGACAATGAGCTTCCCTGGGGTATACCCTTGTCGATGAAACAATAACTCTTTCCTATCCCTTATATCGTTCGTTAGGAAGGATAGAATCAGTTTGCAGAAGGATGGATCATCAATGTAGAACCTTAAGGCGTCGAGAAGAAGCTCATGATTTATATTGTAAAAGCATCCCACGATATAAGGATCAAAATGAAAGAAAAACCCTTGTATAGGTTTGCAATAACTACTTATGTTCACATATTCAAAAAAATAACTACTTATATTCAACTGAACAATCTCCCTTAAGCTAGAGATCAAAATTCAAGAACTTGCAACTTGCCAATGAGCACCTCCTGTATTGATTTTCTTTGTTTTTTTTGTCAAATATTGATGGCTAAAAATTGATTGGGAACAAAGCGAATTCAATTGACTGTCAAAGGCTTCATCTCCGTCCTCTAATAAAGTAGCTATGGCCTTTGATGCAATTCTTACATTCATGATGTCCTATATGAAGTTACTTCACGAACACTATCACATTGCATTATTTTCGCCTAAGACTAGGGTTACCCATTTAATGCTTTTCGTATTCGTTTCAAAATAGACAAGGTTTTCCATGAATTAGCCGACTCACCTATCTAAATGAGTCCTCTCTCCAAATCTATTTTATAGATGAATTTTGGATTCAAAATTTTAGGGAATGAAAATCTCAACCATGATAAGTACGAACTTGAAAAAAAAAAAAATTTTAATAATAAAAAATATTTTTTTGGACGTAGCTTTAACACCGTTGATTTTAAGTTTTTGTCAGGCTACTATTTTGTAACATCCATCTCCAAGATGGATGTTACATGAGCCAAGGCACGCTATTGTAGAAGTGTGTCCTCTGACACAGACTACTTTTCCTTTCAAAATACATCTTTGCATCTGTGTGTATTGCACTTGGACAGGCATATCATTATTCTGAAGTAAAAGAGCCCAAATCCCTTATCTGAATTTTCCGCTTGCTCTATGTCATATATGCATCTCATTTTCTTTTTGTTGGTTCATTTCTTATTTGCAATTTTGATCTCATTATTTATTTTAAGATGTTTTTCTTCACCCATAAATGTTTTAGTTTCACTGGAAATACATTGTCTTCTGATTGATGTTGATTTTATTGTCTTTGAAGCTGTAGATGGAAGTATCCAATGGTATAGAAGTGATTACCGATTCAATTTACAAGTACTATGAGCTTTTGACCTAAAAGAAAAAGAAGTGCTGAAATAAGGATTTCTTTTGAAATGGTCTTCACCATGAGTATATGGTGAATAGGGTGTGGTGAGGATGCTTTGCTAGACAATGTGAGTGAGAGGGCAAAGCTGAAGTCTGTACAGTGGGAAGAAAATGTCAGATGGTTATGGTAAAATATTTATTTATTTATTTATGAGTTTATCATGTTATGAGTTCCTTTTTGTGATTTTGAAGCTTTAATTTATGATGTTTTTGATATCCTGGTTCGTAAGGCGGATCAGTTGCTCTAATGAAATGAACACGTATTACATTTGCTCAGGTTTCCACTGTCATAACTTCTGAGAATTAAATCTCAGATTGCCATGTTTTGTTCATCAATGACTCCTTCAAGTTGATTTTGACTTTTACTTTTCTTATTCTTAAAATATTCTACCCTTCCCACATTCCCTTTCTGGATTCCAAAAATTTTTCACCTTGTTTATTGCAATATCGTACTTAATAATCATTTTCACTACTGTCTATGTCGGGGTTGTAATTTATAGATGTGTAATTATACCATAGTGCAATGGACTGAGGTGCATGGTACTTATAGGCTACATCCACCATCTGTTCTAACTGATGGTTGGAAAATTAACTGTTCTATAATGAATTTCCTTGTGGTTCCCACTATGCTGCTGCCATTAATCTCCAACTGTCTGCCAGTGTGTCAAGAGGAATGGAAAGTGGATGTTGCCTCTGAATATGTATCATAGTCTACTGGACTATGTTATACTTCCCTGTTACATATTTCCCATTCCATTGAGACACCGTCCATGAAATCCAATTGACTTTTTAGCTGTTATCCCCTTCTGGTTCTTATATCTCAATCTTTCCTAATTTTCTTGTCAAAGCATTGCTTTTGATTTTCTGCAGGTGGTTGTTCAAGGGAAACCTCCGTGGTTGTTGTTGTCCTAGAAACGAGTGAGGTGTATATTATAGTCAGCTTGTCAACAAGGATAGACACCCAAGTCATTTATGTTGACCCAACGACTGGAGCACTGTGCTATATTGGAAAGCTAGGATACGATCTTTTCATTTCAGAAGATGAAGCTCTAAAATATGTTACAGATGGGTCAAGGTGGCTTTGCAAGAGCACAACATATGCAAAAGCAATTCTGGGTTATTTGGCATTGGGAAGTTTTGGTTTACTTCTTGTTGCAACCAAGCTGAACGCGGGCATCCCAAACTTGCCTGGTGGTGGCTGTGTATACACTGTGACTGAGAGCCAATGGATCAAGATCCAGCTACAAAACCCTCAACCTCAGGGTAAAGGTGAACTCAAGAATATTCAGGATTTGGCTGAGATTGATATTGATGGGAAGCACTACTTTTGCGAGACAAGAGATATTACAAGGCCTTTCCCAAGCAGTATGCCAGTCTTGTACCCCGATGAAGAATTTGTTTGGAATAAGTGGCTATCATTGCCATTCAACGACATTGGGCTGCCTTATCACTGTGTTGTTCTTCTTCAGGTTTGTTTTCTTCCCATTTGCACCCTCTCTAAGTAAGTGTTCCACAGTTGATGAAATCTGGGGCTCTTGATCCCTATATGTGGGGGAGCTCTGTCCAAACACATTTGGGATCAAATGATAAATTGTACAGGATCGAGCTCCATCTAGTTAAAGATCAAGGTACCCTAAAACACTTGACTAGTATGGTAATATAGTATGTAACTACAATAGACCACACTTTTATACAATGTCATACTGCTCTAACTACATACTATGCTATATAATACATTCTACTATCCTGTACTATGTGCTACTATATCTAAACATACTATAGACAGCTATATTTCTGTAGATGAATATACTACCGTATATTTACATCTTTTGTATAGATGTATCTTATATTTCAGTCTACTGTAGGCAACTATATTTAAATATATTCTGTACTATATGGTATGTACTACCATACTATAACAATATCGCTAGACTATGCTGCTATTCTATACTCCTATACTATACTATACTACACTACGCTGTATTACCATACTACAATGTTAGGGAATCAGATCCCTTGTAACTCTGGACCTGGATCCCTAATAGCAAGGAGTGAGATTCCAAAATTTAATGATTGTGGAGGAGCGAGTTCTCCTTTCCCAAATCGTAGGATTGGGATTCTGAAGCTTAATCATTCGCTTAGTAGGTGGATCCCAGTAACTTTGGTCCAACAAGTCGACTCCTTGTAGTTATGGGCCCAACAAATTACATTTGAGGCATTACAATTAACAATTCCTTCCACTCTGAAGTGATGACTCTTGAAAACTTTAGTAGTTTGGTTTAACCAAATGGCTCATATTGTGGCTAGAAAGGTAGGGTGCTAGACGACAATGCCCAAGAATGGGTGGGGGGTAGTAAAGTATTCCTCAAACAGCTGCTGGACAGTAGGCGGTGTCACCCTTGAGCAAACAAAACTCCAGATTAGGATGCCCAAATATGTCCTGAAGAAGGATGTAGCAGAAAAAAGTGGTCAATACTTTCCTCAGCCTACATGCATAAGACATGCCTATTTGGAAACTGAAATGCTCTTCTTTGTAATCGGTATACAGCTAGAGCTCTCCTAGGGAGAACCAACCAATGGATGTCTTGGAGCTTCAGGGATGTCAGGAGAGAACCATGCTTTAGAGGGAGTGACTGGAGATTTTGATTCCTGTTTTGCTCGGCTACCAGGTAGGAGGAGCAGAAAAAAAAGGAGCCTGAAGGGGCAGGGGATGCCACCAACTTGTCATTCCCCGAACTGAGTATGAAATTCCTCTTATGGAGGCAAGTAGGGATTCAATGTGAGGAATTTTCATATCTGTAAGATACCTCCTAAAACTTGGGGTCCATGCCATCGGCCTGCAATCACTTCGTAAGATTGGCTAAACTTGGCTCCTTGGATAGAAAAAAAAAAGAGAGAGGAAAAAGAAAGGGAAAAAAACAGAAAAGGAAAAAATAAAAAAAATAAAAGGGGGAACAGAATCCTCTTAAGTATGTTGGACTATCTCTTAGTCCCTCGCTTTTTGCCTCTACTTTAGGTCTTTGTACTATATTCCTACCTTTTGCCAAGGGCCGGTTCCGAGTAACCAGTTAACCAGCCTAATCGGGCAAGTCCTGGTAGGTAAAAAAAGTGTTAAAAAAATTAAAAAATACAAAAAACTCTAAAAAAATATGAAAAGTATATTTAAAGCATGATTAAACAAAGCACATCCAAATGAAGTTGAAAATTAGTGAAAAAAATAGATTTTAAAAAATCGATTTGTGCCCATGGGTATTTTTGAAATTTTTATGGAAAAATGTAAAATAAGTATTCATGGCCAAAACACTTTCCAATCTTTGCCAAAATGATAAAAAAACAATAAAAAATGCATTACAAACAAATCCCTTATTTTTTGGGATTTTATATAATTTTTTTGATATTTTTTTAAAATACCTGGCCGGATCACCAAAACTAGCTAAAACCAGAACCAGCCAGGTTCCGAGTTGAATTGGCCGATATTGCAAACACTGGTTTGGACTGCCGGAGGTTTTCCAGCTCCTGAGGACCAATCGAGGACCCAGCTAACTCCTTTCACCCTGACTGGCCACACCTTTTATTTACTTTGGTTAATTGCAAAGCTCTTCTCTTCTCTCTCTCTTTAGGTCCCCCTCCTCTACCCCCCCTTCTCCATTGTATTCTTTTTCATCTTTGTATTCCTCTTCACCCTTTAGGCCTTTGTTCCCTTCTTTTCGTCACTGTAATCTAAACACCCATCTCGTGGGTCGCCATTTTTCCTTCTTTTCTTTTTTGAGTTTCTTTCATTCTCTTCTTCCCCATGTCCTTTGAGCACCCATCTTTTGGGTTGTCGTTTCACCACATCTTGGGATTTTGTTTTCTTTACATTTCACTTAACAAAGTTAACCAGTTTCAAAAAAAAAACTTCGCACCCTGGAATGTTGCAAATGGAGTGTAGCCTTGGGAAAAGGTATTTCAGTATTGGCTTCCCTGAGCCAGAGGACCGTCCTAAATCAAGTCCTGTCGCCCAACTTGGCCAAGAAGCGAATGTGAGGACCTTTCAAAATCAAGTCCTGTCACTGATGCATTTGACCCTAAGAACCATGCACAAGAGTCAACTCCACAGTGCTGTTGGAGGACTGGCAGCCAGTTGACCTTCCTTGTTCGCAGTGCGCCGTCATCTCTTGCTTAGGAAGGTCTTCTGGCTATTGCTTCTAATACCCAGTCCCCTATTGCTTTACCATCTATTTATTACCCCTGTTGTGTTGTCAATTTGTTACATATTGTGATGTTATTAAAGAAAGGGCCGAGATATCCGCGTTTTGATGTATCCGCTTACTCTCCATGTACAGGGATTTGCAGAATCCAGAGGTATTGGAGGTACAGCTCAACAAGAAGTGACTGTTGCTCTTACAGCCCGACGCAGCAGACTTCATCCTGGTACTCGCTATTTGGCTCGAGGACTGAATGCTTGCTATAGCACAGGTGCGTGTTCCACCCTTGTGTGTTCATATTTATTACATATTTTGTGAACTTATTGCCCAAGAGCATATTGAAGGGAATTTTCTGTCACCTTCCTTATGGTGGAGTGGGGGCACTAAGGTTTGATAATAGCTAGGTTCACATGTCTTGAATGCATTCTAATTAGGGAAAAGATATAATTATCAGGACTAAGGGAAATCCGTATTCATGAGGGTATGACCATCCAATCAGTGGTTGATTGGTGATGGTGAGGGAGTGGGACCCATTGTAACAGACATGATCTCATTCTTGTGTCCAGCTTTCTTTACGACTGTTCATCTCATTGGAAGATGATGAACCAATAGAACGTAGGTGATCATAATTTCCTTTTCTGTTCCCCTATTGCATTTTTCATAAATGCACATTTTTTTTTCTTAAATCAGCATGTTTTTGGTTCTTTGGTGTTGTTTGTTCTTTTACAGCACTTTAGTCTTTAGCAATGATGATATTTGGTTTCCATTCCTTGCTTTCCTTACCTTTCGACAGGAAATGAAGTGGAATGCGAGCAACTTGTATGGTTGCAATCAAGAACTGGTCAAGTTCCTTTCAGCACATATATTTGGCGACGAGGCACCATACCCATATGGTGGGGTGCGGAGCTGAAGCTCACTGCTGCTGAGGCAGAAATCTATGTCTCGGCACGAGATCCTTATAAAGGAAGTGTGCAGTACTACAAGAGGTTAAGTAGCAGATATGGTTCAAATAAGCTAGATGGAACAATCAAAGGTAACCAAAAGAGAAATATTCTGGTTCCGATTGTTTGTGTTAATTTACTTAGAAATGGTGAAGGGAAGTCTGAATCCCTTTTGGTTGAGCATTTTGAGGAATCCATCAATAGTATTAGGGCGTCTGGAAAGATTCCATATTCTCGGATTCATTTAATAAATTATGATTGGCATGCCAGTGTGAAGTACAAAGGTGAGCAGCAGACCATTGAGGGACTGTGGAAACTGCTCAAGGCTCCAACCATGGCTGTTGGAATAAGTGAAGGGGAGTATATGCCTTCAGCAATGAAAACTGACTTTAAAGGAGCACTCATTCAGTGCAAAGACATTGATGGAGTTTTTTGTTTAAGGACATTCCAAAACGGGGTAATTCGTTTCAACTGTGCAGATTCTTTGGATAGAACAAATGCAGCAAGCTATTTTGGGGCTCTTCAAGTATTGGTTGAACAGTGCAGAAGGTTTGGTTTGTCCCTTGATATCGGTGGGGGCTTTGGACTTCCTCCAGGAAACAGATACCCAGAGCAGGGCAAATATGGGGAATATGTGGGCCCTTTGCCACCTGGATGGGAGAAACGTTCTGACGCGGTTACAGGAAAGACATTTTATATTGATCACAACACGCACACCACTTCATGGGAACACCCATGTCCAGATAAACCATGGAAGAGATTTGATATGTCGTTTGAGGAGTTTAAGAATTCAACCTTTGCAACCGCAATCTCTGTCCTGGCTGACCTTTTCCTTACTGCTGGTGATATCCATGCTACACTTTACACAGGATCAAAGGCTATGCATAGTAGTATTCTTCAGATATTCAGTGAGGATTCTGGCAGGTTTAAGCAGTTCTCTGTTGCTAAGAATATGGGAATCACTATTAAAAGAAGATACCAAAATGTTCTTATTGACAGTTCCCGCCAGAAGCAGTTGGAGATGTTTCTTGGGACGCGACTTTTTAAGCATCTTCCTTCTATTTGGACCCATCCATTAAAGGTATTTCATTGTTGATTTATCTTGTGGCAATTTGCCTATGAGAAACTTGAATTGATCGATTTGTAAATACATCCTTATATGCAATACATCTCTGCATTTTGTCTTTAAACCTTGTATGAGCTATTGGTTCACTAAATGAAGAAATTTTCAAAGGAAGCGTGTACCATCATACTCAGGTGGCGCATCTAATATCAACTTTTCAGACAGGTGGTAAGGATGAACCATAATGGGAAGGACATTACAGCTGCCCTATCCTTTTTCTGAACATAAGTATTTGTTGAATATCTGTGCTTATTGAAGGCTTAACTTAGTTATCTGTTCCAACTTGGACAGCAATACTTTTTACAGTGCTGTTTCTATGGGCTCCACAGTTTCTAATAATATGTAATGCTGACAAAATAGGTAACATCACGACCTTCTACTTGCCTTTTGAAGCCTACTGTGAATATGTTCCCAAGTATGAATGGTGGAGCTGATCTTCTCAGCTTTAAAAGAAAAGATCGAATTTGGGTACTCATATTCTTCATTCTCACTTTTGGAGAAATATTTTTCATTCCCTTAGGTCTACTGACAATTTTTGTCATCTCTTTAGAAACTGATGATTTGCTTATAGTGGTTTACTACTTTTCTGAAGGGTCCACATCATTATATTCCCAGGTCTGCTCTCCGGCTGCAGATATTGTTGAACTTTTCGTATACCTCGGAGAGCCTTGTCATGTTTGTCAGCTTCTTCTGACTGTTTCACATGGTGCAGAAGATTCATCCTTCCCTGTGATGGTAGATGTACGAACAGGAACTAATCTGGATGAGCTAAAGCTTGTTCTTGAGGTTTGTCTGACTACTTATGCATATTACTCTTCTTTTCTAAGTTTTTTACAAGTTAACTCCAGGATGCGAGGTATATCACCTCCTGTGGTTTCTATTTAATAATCTATTGTAATTTACTTCAAAACTTGATTATCTTTTACTGGTTTTTACTTATACCAAGATTTTGGTATTTGGGAACTAGTACACTGTTAATTGAATTTCTTAAGTACCACACATCGCTCACCATTTCATTCATGAAATTGTCCATTTGCACCTTGCGTACTCCCCTGCTGCTTGATTTTGTGTCTTGGTAATTAAGATTGGTGTGTATGAGAGACAAATCTTGTACCCTATACTCCCTTGTGCAAACTGCACCTGGATATTTGTTCATGTGACCAAACTGGCTGTTTCCTTGATCTTGATGCTTTGGATTGCTTTGTATCTCTTAAAATTAAAAACCTTTTCATGTGACAGAAAACATGGTAGGTGTTAATGTGAATGATAAAAACCGGTAAAAGGAAAACCATCTCTACACACTGTTCCTCTCGTGTTATTTGAACTTCTTAGGCCCTTTTAATACCACGAGAACTTTGTGGCGCATGCTGCCCTCTCTATTTCTCTACTTTTTTGGGAGGTTGTGGGTGGTTATCTTATAATCCAAAATATTTTTCGGTTATCAATAGGAAAGTACAAAAATTACCTTTAGGTTCATCTGCTTTATTGATCTTTTTTTTCCATTTATGACTGTTATGCAGGGTGCAACCATACCAAAATGTGCAAATGGGACAAATCTGGTGTTGCCCCTAACTGGTGCTATTAAGCCAGAGGATATGGCTGTAACTGGTGCAGGTACACGCCTTCAGGCTCAAGAAAAGTCCACCATTCCTTTGTTATATGGATTTGAAGAACTGGAGGGCGAAATAAATTTTCTTACCCGTGTTGTGGCATTGACATTTTACCCTGCTGTTGCTGGAAGAATCCCTATCACCCTGGGTGAGGTACATGGTTAACTTGGAAATATATAATAGCTGAAATATATAACTAGAACATGTCATATCACTAGTATGTCATGCCTTAATTTTTTCTGGGAAAAATTTATCCAAAAGAACCTAAGAGATGAACTATTTAACAACTTACCCATTTCTTATGATTTAATTTCAAAAAGCCCATCAAAGGATGCCAATCATGCATTGTAATAGTTAATATTTTATGTGTATTTTTTATAAATGGTAAAAATATTAAAATAGTTTAGTTTTTAAATGTACTTTGATAAATGGATTCCCCTTTTTCTCAATTGTACTTGGCGATTAAGGTAGCTTTTGCACCTTAAATACCTCTAATGAATGGCATTATTGTAATATGATGAAAAGGTCCCATGTTGGTGCAATAGCCTTTATGGTCAATTTCACTGTATAATTTCCTTCTAGATTTTGTCCTGAATTTGAGGTTGTGCCTAATAAGTCATAAGCATTTTGCTTGGATATTTTGTTCTCTGCAGATTGAGATTCTTGGAGCCTCTCTTCCTTGGAGGGATATATTTACAGATGATGAATCTTGGGTAAAATTTACCGAGCTTGGGCAGAAACATTCAAATCATACAAATTCAAATCATACAAACCCCTTTTTGTCTGATTCAAACTTTGACATTTGTGATGGGTCATCCAACCACAATGTAGCAATCGCATCACAATCAAGTGGTTCATTGAGCCATGGACTAGATCTTCTAACAGGAGATTTCATGTGTCCTGAACCGATTTCTCAGCCTGAGATGCAATTCAAATATGATCACTTTGATCCTAATAGTGGTCGACACAATGATTTCTTTGGAGATCCTCTTCTTGATTGTTTTGGGCCCCAAGCATCACCTGATTTGGCCACCCCCCAACATGAAAAACCTGAAGATGTTAGTGGCACCCAACAATATCTGAATTGTTACAGATTGTTGAGTGGCACAGACAAGGTATGGAGATTAGTGCATAGGCAGATTTGTGAACATGATTGTTGAAGTAATTTTTTCTGTGTGCACGCATAGATTATTTTCCGTGTCTGGTGATATTGTTGTCATTTACTGTGTGTTCATTTTATGCCTTTGTTTCACAATGTTAAACTGTGGGTTTGAATTATCTTTGAGGTTCTATGTTTATATGCTACGCAAGAATTTATTTCATCCTAACAGTTGTAAAAGGATAATTAACGGCAAATGGTGGACTTCGACTTTGAAACCAGGTCCAAGTGGTTCTGCATAATCTCTCACATTCTTCTTTGTCATAATTTAGTAACCCTGAAGAATGTTAATCTGTTTCTCATGCATTTTAGAACACAGGGTTGTTTGGATTCACATTATATTGCTAATAATTCTCTCCTGATATTGGGGCCAAACTGGCTTTTGTTTTATCTTGCACTTTTTCTCTTGACAATACATCATTCTACAAAATAAGAAATATACGCAAACTGGAAAATGTGGAAATAATTTCCAATTGCTTACTATGTCATGGAAACTAATTCTCCTTTTTTGCGTAACGCTTAACAGACTACATCAAGTTTTGTTTTTCTGCATTTTTAGTTTGACCTGGATGCATGTCATTTGATGGTGTAGATACTTTGTCATGATGCTGACATAATTTCCAATTGCTTACTATGTCATGGGAAACTAATTCTCCTTTTTTGCATAACGCTTAACAGACTACATCAAGTTTTGTTTTTCTGCATTTTTAGTTTGACCTGGATGCATGTCATTTGATGGTGTAGATACTTTGTCATGATGCTGACATGCAGACTGTGTGACTTGTATGGGCAAATGCATTTCTTGGTGGAAAACTAAATGCCATGCATTGGCTTGTCTGTGATGTAGCATAGTATCAAACAAAAGTGCACAGATGATTTATATTCTCCTGATAGTATTTCTCTGTGACTCATGGGAGTTGAGATCTGTCTTTGAATCTTTACACTATCTTGCAGTGTAGGAAGCTGGACTATGAAGAGGCTATGAAGCTTGAAATTGAACGCTTCCATGTAAATCTGTCAGCTGCAGAAAGAGATAGAGCTCTCTTATCCATTGGCACTGATCCTGCAACAATAGATCCAAATGCCTCATTAGATGATTCCTACATGAATCAGATATGTAAATATGCAAACAATCTTGCAGTGCTGGGACGGGTAGCATTTGAAGACAGGATTATATCAGCCATAGGTCTTGATGCTAAAGAGGATTGTGATATTGATTTTTGGAATATATATAGAATTGGTGAATCGTGCTCAGAGGCTAAGTGTGAAGTTCACATCAAGTCAAAGCAGACCCAAGTCTCATGTGCAAATATTCATGCTAATGACCCATCTTTGCTTCTGGTTTGTTCTAATTGCAGAAGAAAGGTATGCAGTTTTTGTTCAGCAGGGAGGGGAAGTATCCTTCTCATGACTGACAATGCTAAGGAGGGATCGAGCTTTAATGGTCAATCAAGCCCTGATGGGTCAAGTCATCATGGCCAAAGTGATGGAATTTCAACAAATCGTGCTGCACCAGTAGATGCAGTGACCTGCAAAAAATGTTGCCCACAAATAGTCCTTGATTCACTGCTTTTGGATTATGTCAGGGTTTTGAGTAGCTTACGAAGGAGAGCTCGAGCAGACAATGCAGCATATGTGGCGCTAAGCCAAGTGACTGATATTTCATCATACCATCATGGTGCTGAAGTGAAGGGAAAGTATGGAAATCAGCAGGGGGGCGATAGGAAAGCGCTGGAAATGATATTTAATGGGGAGGAATCACTTGCTGAATTTCCATATGCTAGCTTATTGTATTCGGTAATGTTTGGAAATCTTATTTTCGATCTGTTTACATCTGGTTTGAGGTGATCTATTTGGTGCTTTCAAGGATTCCTCTCTCTCTCTCTCTCTCTCTNNNNTCTCTCTCTCTCTCTCTCTCTCTCTACTCTACTACTACTACTACTACTATACTACTACTACTACGTACTTACTTA